ACTCCCAGTCGCCTCCTCCCTTAGACACAGGGGTCTGGGTCCCAGACACTTCTCCCCCTCCCCAGCCCAGGAGTCTGAGCACGCAGCCCCCAGACCCCTCCTTTCTCAGTCTCAGGAGTCCAGCCCCCAGCCCTCTTCTGCATTAGCCCCAGGAGTCTGGGTCTGAGATTCCTTTGCCGCCTTTTGCCAATTCCGTGTCAATCCTGGGGCAGATTCCCACCCTCTGCTCTCATCCCCACTTCCCAGGAGCTCCACGCCAGACATTAACCAGCTGGGCTTGGGCAGCGATAAGGCCCGAGGCTGGGGAGACAGTGGATGTGCGGGGGCTGCCCCACATCGTCCTCTCCCCTGGAATTTCCTGGGTGGGGACTAGGGAGAGGGTCTTGTCCTGAGCTCAGATAAGAGACATTCAAGGTATCATAGGACTCAGTAGACAAAGGTATGTTTTAAGAACAGAAGGACTTGCTCTTAGAGAAACAGAGAGAATAGTGACAGATAAGGGAGAGACGGGGACAAGGCACAGAAATGCAGAAAAGGGGAGAGAGACCAAGAGAAAGACGGGGACAAAGACCTAGAGAGAGAAGGGGGACAGAAACCCAGAGAAAGAAGACAGACAGAGATAGAGGGCAGACACCCCAAGAAAAGGGGACAGACCCCAGGGGGGTGACAGAGCCCCCGAGAGGGAGTGAGAGACCCTAAGAAAGAGATGACACAGGAGCCAGAGCGTCCAGGGACAGTCACATGGGCAGCAGGGGCCCTCACCCTACCATACCTCAGAGACAGGGCTCCCCTCCCCCTGAGCTATTTTCAGAAGGAAAACTGACACTGCCTTGGGGGGTCATCCCGCACCCCTCCCTCTACCTAAATATAGCATGGCAAGGTGGCAGGAAGGGTGTCCCCGGATTAGGGTGTTCCCCTCTCCTCCTCCCCGTTCCAGCCAAGGCAACACAGAAGGCAGCTCCAGTTGTTTATTGGAGGTGGGGAAGGGCCACTTCCCAGTCTTTGGGTATCCATTCAGGTCACCTCTCTGACGTCACCACACTTCCTAGCCTCCCATCCCTAAACACCCAGCAGGTCCCACCCCATACCAGAAGGACTCTGTGTAACTCCCAGTCATAGGGGGTCACAGGGATGGTTTTCAAATAAAAGTAACTGGGAAACAGTCTCTGGGTCTCTGACTCTCTGGGTCTCTGTCTCCCTCCCTGGGCCTCTGACCCCCCTTTCTCTGGGTCCCATTCTCCCTCTCTCTGGGTATCTCCCCCTCTTCTGGGGGTCTCTGTCCCCACGCCCAATCCTCTGTCCTCTTCTCTCTTGCCTTTGGCTTTCTCGTTTTTGCTTTGGGTCTTTGTCATCTCTCCAGGTCTCAGTTCCTCTCCACACGTCTCCTCCTCTTTGGGTCTCTGTGCTGGGTCTGTGCCTCTAAGACTCTGCCTTGTTTCTTGTCACTGTGAGATCTGTCTCTGCTTCTGTCCCTAAATGTGGCTTTCTTTCCATTTCAGAGAGAAGTGGCGACCTAAATGTTACATTATTTTTAACCATTGTCAAACTCTTCCCACAACCTCTACCTCCTTCTCTCTAGGTGCATAGAAAGGTGGTTAGATTAAACCAGGGGGTTCCAAACTGAATTCCGTAGATGCATTTTGAGTCACAGAGGGGGACTCGAAAGGAGGCATGTTCCCCTCCAGTCAGCTCCCCTCCGATACTTTACATTGGTACCTCTAAGATGATTTTATTTTACCAAAAAAAGGAGGGGAGGTTATAGCTAAAAATAACAACACTCTGTAAACCACTGGTTGGGTTTTAATAAATTAATACAAGTAAAGTTACTTGGGATGACGCCTGGCACATAGGAAGCCCTATATGTGTTAGTGATGACAACCATCTTCCCCTTCTCTGAATGCCCTTTAGCTCTGCAAGACCTCTGAAAATTTTTGGCTCCATGACTTGGGTAACACTTTTCCCTCTGAGCCGCAGTCTCCTTGTCTGTGAGAAATGAGGCTTCTGGACTCGGGAGGTCCCTTGTGCATCAGGATGGCAGATGGGGACACGTGGGGCAAGCAGCCTGCCACAATCCTGGCCACCTGTGTGACCTTGGGAGGCCACTCCCCTGTTCTGAGACTCAGGTTTCTCTCCTGGAAAACAGAGCGAGGCCCCCAGCCTGTCTGACACCCTTCTTGAGCTGCGAGGAAGTGGGTGATCAGCCTGGTTTAGGATCTCTTTATGATTCCGTGGAACAGAGACTGTGTCTTTCTCAGGTTCAGGGGCACTGAGTTTTTCTTTTTAGTTTTTTTTTTTTTCTTTTAGAGACAGGATCTCCCTCTGTCACCCAGGAGCAGTACAGTGGCCTGATCACAGCTCACTGTAACCTCCAATTCCTGGGCTCAAGTGATCCTCCTGCCTCAGCCTCCTGAGTAGCTGGGACTACAGGCATGCATCACCACATCTGGCTAATTTTTCTTATTTTTTGTAGAGATGGGTCTCACTATTTTGCCCAGGCTGGTCTCGAACTCCTAGCCTCAAGCGATCGATCCTCCCACCTCAGCCTCCCAAAGTGCTGGGATTACAGACATGAGCCACCATGCCTGGCTGGCACTGACTTCTGCCTTTTTCTTTTTCAGTTTCCTTTCTCTGAGACTCTATGATCTGTCTCAAACTGTTGGTGTCCTCCCTGGCTGCCTGATACTGCTTTCTCAGTCTCTATCCCCGGCTCTTGGTCTCTGTCCTCCTGTCATTCTGGATTTCTGTTCCTCTCTCTTTGGGTCTCTGTCTCCTTTTCTCCAGGTTTCTATCTCTTCCTCTTTCTGGGTCGTTATCCCTCTCCTGGTCTCTCTCCTCCACCTTTTGAAGTTTCTGTCCCTCCATCATGTGCAGACAGAGCACAAACAGTTTTCTCCCCTCTCCCCCTTCCCTTTCCCTTGTGGCTCTGACCTCCAGGTCTGGGAGTAAAACTGTAGGGGAGGATGAGGAGGGGAGGGGGTTTGTTGGTAAAATGAAGTGGATGTGAGTAAACAGAAGGAGCATCTACATCTTCTTAGTTCACCCTGGTAACCTCTGAATGAACACCTGAACCCGTGGATACAGAATCCAGCTCCCCCCATGCCCCCTGCAATGAGTAACATGGGAGAAGCCAGCTTGGTACATCTCCCAGAGTCTACACCACCATACACTTGTTCCCTGATCCATGATTCTCCCCCAGAACTGTTACCCTTGGGTCCTGGTGCTACCATTAAATGCAAAACAACCCAACATGGCCCTAGGGAACTCATCCTTACAGTCTGACTCAACCCGACGTTCCTACAGGACACACAATGACACAACTCAATGTAACTCAACTCAGCATGGCCCTATGAGACTTGAACAGTCATATGACCCAACTGAACTGGCCTTACAAGACTCGTGTTGTTGTACATCTCAACACAGCTCAACTCAGTGTGGCCCTGAAAAGCTTACAGCCACATAACTCTAGACAACTCAACTGAACAGAACCCTACAAGACTCATTTAGCCATCTGTTCCAACCCAACTTAACCCAATGTGATCTAGAAAGGTCACATTCTATCAAGTGACTCTTCATGTTTCTACATGACTCACAAATTCATAGAACCTAAAATAACATGGCCCTAGAACAATCATAAACCAACACAATTTCTCACGTCTCAACAAGCCACACAATTTCTCACGTCTCAACGAAACTCAACACCATTCATGACTGCACAGTTGATCTCAACAATGCCATGGGTGACCACCTAACTTGACCCACCATGGCCCTAGGGGACCCATAAAACCACAGAATCCTGCACAGTGCAGTTGGACAAGACTCACCCAAACTCACAACTCAACCCAACCTAACACTGACCTAGGAAAGTCACAAAATGGTATGACCGAACCTATCTCAACACTACCCTAAAAGGCCCCACCAGCTTTGCACAACTCAATGCGATACGAACCAATGGAGTCCCCCTCAACTCAACACAACCCACTGCCATTCGCTGATACTTAAGGAGGTACCCACAAGAGCTACCAAACCACACAACTCAAGACCCAACAAGACTCAGTGTTCCCCCGTTCATTACCACTTAACCTAGTTCTTCGTAAACCCAATCCCCTCCTCCCAGCCTTTCCCTCCACCCTGCTCCCCTCCCTCCCCTCCAAGGAGGTATGAGGTCCTGCAGACCTCAACTGTCCCTCACACTTCGGTGACCAGGTGTTTCGCAGGGGGTGCCCAGAGTGGAGGTGGTAAGTCAGGCACTTCTCCATCCACCAACCCACCATTGGCCTTGCCCTCCAGTGTGCCACAGGGCTGTGTGTCCACATGGCTGTACATCCCGGCCTCTTCGCCCTCTGTCTCCCGGTGGTAAAAGTAGCTGAAGTTGGAGACAATGACAGGCACGGGCAGGGAAATGGTCAGTACACCGGCGATGGCGCACAGAGAGCCAACTATCTTGCCACCCACAGTGACGGGTGCCATGTCTCCATAGCCAACTGTGGTCATGGTGACCACTGCCCACCAGAAGGACTCTGGGATGCTGGTGAAATGGGAGTCCACCCGGTCAACTTCCGCAAAGTAGACCGCGCTGGAAAAGAGGACCACACCGATGAAGAGGAAGAAGATGAGGAGGCCCAGCTCTCGCATGGAGGCCCGAAATGTCTGGCCCAAGATCTGTAGGCCCTTTGAGTGCCGGGACAGCTTGAAGATGCGAAAGACACGCACCAATCGGATGACCCGCAGGATGGCCAGTGACATGGCCGGCTGGGCCACCCCTCGCTGCCGGGCCAGCTCAGTGCCCAGCGCCACAAAGTAGGGAAGGATGGCCACAAAATCGATGAGGTTCATCACGTTCTTGAAGAAGATCGCCTTGCTCGGGCATGCCATCAGGCGCACTAGCAGCTCAAAGGAGAACCAACAGATGCACAGCGTCTCCACCATAAAGAACGGGTCGTTGAAGGGCAAGCGGGGTGGGTTTCCAGGCACAGGGCCGGAGCCATTGAGTCGAGCAGGGAACTGCAGGGAGGAAAACGTTCAGGGAGGGCCAGGCCAGGGCTGGGACACTGGGACAGCCTTATTCCTTGTTTAAATAGCCAACTTCTCTTTACAGATGGGACAGTGGCCACTGCCCCAAGGCCCCCAGCAATCTGGTGGTTCTAGACTCCTTCCCAGGATCCCAGGGATCATCCCTGGGTGGCTGACTTTCTGGTCTGCTGACCTGGTGGGTGGCTGGAGAGGTGGTCCCTGCCCCTTCACTGGCAGGGACTCCTGAAATGATGCTTGAGTAGTGTACAACCTCTTCGCGCCCCCTGCGTTGATTTTCTACATGGGGAGGGTCCTGGTCCAGGCCCCCCACCTCTGGTGCATAGCCTCTCCTTGACCTCCCCAACCTGAGCCCGGACTATAATAGCTAAAGACCTTCTCTGCAGGCCAAACTCCAGGTCGCTCCACTCAGGGCCCTCAGCCTGACTTGCTTTGTGATGTTCTCCTCCTACTCCGGCCCCCGGCCCCACCCTCAGCTCGCTGTCTTCAGGTCCTGTGCTCATCACCACCTCCATCCCATCCTTCTCATTGGTCAGCGCCAGCTGCACAGATCCCGGATTCTTCAGGCTCTCCTTCGCCCCCTCAGCTTCGATTTTTAATGTTCCTATTCTTGCTGCCCCCTGCACCCTGCCCTGTGCAGCCGAGTTTCTCACCTGGGCCACCCCACCTCCTGACAGGGCAGGTCCTCCTACTCGGATCCTCAGGCCCCGCCTCCAGCCCAGCTTTATTGGCGAGGTCTCCGGATCAGGCCCTGTCCCTGGGAGGCTTACCTCTCACAGCCCCTTGCCCCGCCTTATCATTGGGCAGATCCCCTGGCCCCTCCCACCTCCTCCCAAACCCCGCCCCCTTTCCACCACGCCACGCCCCTCACCGGGCCAGCTGCAGCCACTGCTGCGAGCCCTGGGTCGTAGCGGTCGTCGCGGAAGTCAGGCAGCGTCTCTAGGCAGAAGACCACGATGGAGACCAGGATGACGAGCACGGAGACGACGGCGAGCACGCGCGCGGCCTGTGAGCTCTCGGGGAACTCGAAGAGCAGCCAGAGCTGGCGCGCGAAGGCGCGGCGGGGCAGGGGGCGCTCGGGCGGCACCGGGCAGCCTTCGTCCTCGCGCAGGCGCGCCAGGGCCGCCGCGCCCAGCCCGTAGAAAGCTACCTCCTCCAGGAAGACGTCGAGCGGCACGTGCGCCGGCCGCCGCAGCCGCCCGCCCGACTGGTAGTAGTATAGCACCGCGTCGAAGCTGGGCCGGTGCCGGTCGAAGAAGTATTCGCGGCGCACGTCGTCGTAGAAGCGGCTGCGGCGCGCTGGGTCCCCGAGCAGCGTGTCCGGGAAGCGGCCGAGCGTGCGCGCCCGCGTCTCGAAGCGCAGACCGGCCACGTTGAGCACCACCCGCTCGCAGCAGCCGCACGGCGGCGGGCACCGCGGCTCCATGGCGCGCGCAGCCCCGGCGACCCGCGAACGGACGTGTGGCCCCGACGCCTGGCCCGGTGCGGCCCCGCCTCGGCCGCCGCCGCCGCCGCCGCCGCCGACCCAGCCCGGTGTCCGGTGTCCGCGCGTAAAAATAGCCCGGCAGTCCGGCCAGGGCGCGGGGGAGGGGGCGCCGTGACCCCGGCGGGGCAGAGGGCGGCTGGGCGCCCTCTGCCGGGGCGCCCGCCCTGCCCCCCAGCCGCCGCCGCGCAGCGCTTTCTCCGCGTCTGCCCTGCTTTCAGGTCCCCTTTCCCTTTTTCTCTCTGTCGTCCGGGATCTCGGTCCTGCGTTTCTCCCAGTTGCCGCGTATGCGTGCCTCGTCTCTTTTTATGAGAATCTGAGCCCTCCATTGGAGTCGCGTGTTTCCACCTTTCTTTCTCCTTCTCTTGTGTGGCTCAGCGTCTGGCTATGTCATCGCTTTGGGTTTCTGTCTCTCGTGGGGATGTTTCTCTGACTATCTCTGTGGGTCAGTTATCTGTGAGGTTTGTTATTCTGGGGGCCTCTGTATGGGGGTCTCTGCCAGATTCTTTGTCTTGGTCTCTGGATCTATGTCTTTATTTTGACTCTTGTTTGGAGGGGGGTCTGTCTCTGTTTATCTCTCGTCTCCCTGATCTCTTTGTTTCTCTTGTCTTTCTGAATCTCTTTTCATTATCTCTTAGCCTTCCGTATCTCTGTCCCAGGGTTTTTCTGGGGCTCCCCTTTGAGTCTCTCCCTGTATCTCTGAATGACTGGGAGTGTCTGTCTTAGGACCCCTAGAGGACTCAGGGTCTCTGGAGTCATATCTCTAGATCTCTCTCCGATCATCACTCCTGGTCAGCTCTGCCACTGTCCTGATGTTTGTCCTGTCCTGGGGTCGCTCTGGCAGCTGCAAACCACTGAACCAGTGCACCCACACCCCATCCTGTCTCCAGAGTCTGCGCTGCGGTCTCCACCTGGATTCTCTGCGAGACTTCCTGAAACCTAGCAGGGCCTGAGCTGTAGCCCTGCAAATAGTGCAAAAGGAGGCCACAGTTGCCAGGAATGGGTGAGGAGTGGGCCGGGAAGATGCCACAGGGTCACTCTCAAGAACCGAAGGGCAAAGAGACGATGGCCTTCCAGCCACCGGTGTCTGATGACACCGCGTAAAAATAGCCCCATCGGATGGGCTTGCGAGGGCGAAGAGGTGGCGGATTGGTCACCCTGGACTCCAGGAAAGCGGGTCCCGGGCGCCCTCTGCTGGGGGCATGGAGAGTGACACTAAGCCTTAGAACTCCCGGCTAATTCTGAATTCTGGCCCTCTTTCTGTCTACATTACTTTCTGGAATGCTATGTTTCTCTATGGATTTCTGTGACCCTCTCCCTGGATCTCTATTGTCCCTCTCTCTGGGTCTTTGTCCCTCCATCTCTCTGGTCTCTGTCTCCTCTCTGCGAGTCTTTGATCTCTCTGTGTGCCGCTGCAGGGCAGAACCTTCCACAAATCAACCCAGAGCTTCTGTGGTGACCCCAAGTCCCTTCCTTGAGTCGAAGTGGCATCATGGTGGTGGGGGTCTGGTGTTTCTGAGTGGCTCCTCTTCTCACAGCTCCTAATCCCACCCAGCTTTGCATACCCTCAACCTGACCAGTTTCCCATCTTTCTGGGCCTTTTGGGGGACAGGAAGTCATGCCTGTCGGCAGCAGCATCTCCCCCTCCTCTCTGAGCACCTTCCTCCTCTAACTGACCCCTTGTCCTCCCAGGAGACCCCAAAGCCCTCTCTCTTGTGCCCTCCTGCTACTGAGCCTGGAGGTGGGCAGGTGTCTTCCTTGCTCCTCCTTGCAACTTCCAGACAATTCTCCCTCTCTTCCAGACACTCCAACTTCTTCGAAGCTCAAGCCATTCATGGACACCTCTTCCCATCTTTCCTTGGTGAACTCATCCTGTTGCCTTTTGGCCGCTCCTGCTCATTCGTGGAAGATTTTAAATCCTGGCTCCCTGTCCGTCACTCCAAAACTACTATCATAATTCTAGTAATTTCAGCCTGGCGCAGTGGCTCATGCCTGTAATCCTAGCTCTCTGGGAGGCCAAGGTGGGAGGATTGCTTGAGGTCAGGAGTTCAACACCAATCTTAGCAACAGTGAGACCCCATCTCTAAGAAAAAGAAAAAAAAATGCGCAAAACAACAAAACCCAGCCAGGCTTTGTGGCACCTGTCTGTAGTCCCAGCTACCCAGGAGGCTGAGGCAGAAGGATTGCTTACAGCCCAGGAGTTAGAGCTCGTGGGGAGCTACAGTAAGGTCGCTGCACTTTACCTAGGGCAATCAAGTAAGACTGTGTCTCAACAACAACAACAAAAAATTCTTAGTAACTTCAGTATCCCCACAGATGATCTGTCTAAAACATGGCCTGTACCAGATTGTCTCTTCCGTAAAGAACCACAGCCATATTTCTTGTCCCACATGGTCGTCCAGAACCTTGCCCATGGCCCATCATGCGCAGTCCATATCTCCAGCCTTTGGTGACTGCTTCAACTAACAGACCACCAGGGAAGGAACACCATGTGATTTCTGAGGATGAGTCATAATAGGCCATGAAACTTTCCGCCCCACTCTTTCTTGAGACATTCGTCCGGACCAGATGGTGAGGCCCAGGTGGAGAGGACTCTAGGCCACTGGCCTTTGGCCCTGGCTAAACTCACATAGCCCACAGCCAGCACTAACTTGCAGCCATGGGACTGAACCACTTGGAAATGGGTCCTCCAGCACACAAGCTACCCCCACTGTTGTTCCTGGAGCAGAGAAAGCCTTCCCTCCAAGCCCTGCCCAGATTGCAGACTTATGAGCGAAGTGAACAATTTCTGCTGTTTTTAGCCACGCAGTTTTGGGGTGATTTGTTAAGACCATCACAGTAATAGAGAACCAGAATGTGGCCTCTGGGTACTCCCATCCCATCATTTCCATCTGTCTTGCCCTCTGCCCTGCCTTAGCACCTCTCTCTCTCTTTCTTTAAAAAAGTTTTATTGAGATATAATCCACATACCATACAAGCCATCCATTGACAGTGTATGACTCAGTGGCTTTTCATATATTCAGAGTTGCACATCCATCACCACGATCAGTTTGAGAACATTTTTGTTATCCCCTGAAGAAACCCTGCACCCTTATTTGTCACTCCCCCCAATCTTACCACCCATTTTCATGGTCATATCCTTGTCCTTGCCATTACCGGTAATTTATACCCCTTCTAAACTCTTAATTTTTATCTTCCCATTCTCTGTCCATGCTCACCTTTTCCCCATCACCCAAATTTTTAAACCTTCCAAAATCACCAGCACCTACAATCCATTCATCCTGTTACCTTTTCACCATCTCTGACCACCTGCGGGGTGTCCTCCCTTTCCTCTTTCCCCTGCTTACCTCCCCTGGTCCACCAATAAAGTCACGCCCTTGCCTGAAACCCCCTCCAGGGCACTGTTGGGCCCAACTCAGCCTTAGTAAATCTTTCACCTACTCTGTGCCTGCCCAGGGGCTCTGAAGGGGGCTGGACCAAAATGGAATGCTCCTTACTTTATATTCACGACCCCAAATTCCAGCAGGAAGCTGCTACGTGCCCCTGATCAATGTGCTCCCTGTCTCACCAAGATAACTGTTACCCGTCTTTGTTCTCTGCAAACCTCCCACAGCAACTCCCTGTTCTACTTGCAGACTCTGCTTATGTTATCAAACTAATTCTCTTATATCATCACAGTGGGAGGCAGACTCATGGCCCCCAAAGACGTCCATGTCCTACTCCCCGGAACCTTCGAATATATTACTTTATATGGCAAAAGGGACTATGCAGATGTGCTTAAATTAAGGCTCTTAAAATAGGGAGAAGATTCCGGATTACCTGGGTGGGCCCAGTGTAATCCAGGCCCATCAGGTCTGTATAAGAGGGAGGCAGTAAGGTCTGATTCATAGATATGAGGACGGATGCAGAAGTCAGAGAGAGGAGAAGATGCCCCACTGCTCACTTTGAAGATGGAAGAAGGGGCCTCGAGCCAAGAAATGCAGGCAGCCTCTAGCAGCTGGAAAAGGCCAGGAAACAGATTCTCCCCTAGAGCCTCCAGAAGGAGCACAGCCCTGCAGACCCATTTTAGACTTCTGACCTCAAGAACTGTATGCTAATAAATTTGTGGTGTTTAAAACCACTAAGTTTGTGGTGATTTGTTACAGCAGCAACAGGAAACTAATATAGGCAGGCTCTCCCATTCCTTGGTATCATTCTTATGTTATAACACTATTTTTAAAACTTTAACTTTGAAGTATATTTAGCCTTACAAAAGAGTTATGAAGATGGCACAGAGAGTTCTTGAATATCCTTCATCCCGCTTCCCCTAATGTTAGCATCTTACATTGCTAGGCACATTTGCTAAAAGTAAGAAATTGACAATGGTGCATTACTTTTGACTAAATCGCAGACTCCATTCGGATTTTCCTGTTTTTTCACTAATAGTCCTTTGCCCATTCAAGGATGCAATCCAGGTTGCATCTGCTTGTCATATTGCTTTAGTCTTCTGCAATGTTATAGTTTACTTTTTTCCCTGTCGTTTGTGCGTGACCTGGACACTTGAAAAATACTGGGCAGTTATTTTGTAGACTATCTTTTAATTTGTAGTTGTCTGATGTTTTCTCTTCATTGGATTGAGGTTATAATTGCGGGGGTGAGGGTGGAGAGAAAGCCACAGAGGTGACATGCCCTTCTCATCACATCATACTGGGGGCATGTGATGTCCATTTGTCATATCTCTGGTGATGTTAACTTTGATCCCTTGGTTAGAGTGGTGTCTGGGGTTTCTCCACTGTAAACTTATTATTTTCCCATTTGTAATCAATGAGTATTTGGGAGGAGCCATCCTTTTGGTCAAGTTCATTGTCTTATTTATTTTTATTTTTTCATCTGCTCAGAAATCTGCAGAATAGTCAAGTTTATTGAGGTCTAATGTACATGCAGTCTAATTTGCCTTTTTAAATGTACATTCTATGAGTTTTGGCAAATGTATGCAGTCCTGCAGCCACCACGACAATCAAACTGTAGAACTGTCCCCTGACTCTCTCCAGATTCCCTAGTTCCCCTTTGTTGTCAATCCCTTTCTCCATTCCCAGCCCC